TCGTGCTGGTGCAGCCCGGTCAGGGGACTGGCCCAGCTGGGGAAGGGGTAACAGTGCCATGGCCCCAGCGATCAGAGAGAGGCAACAGCTCTGGACCCTTTCCTCTCGAAGAAAATGAAACCCTTTCCCAGGGAGGCTGCCTGGAGCACCACGGTGGTGGGCCCTGGTCTGAGACCGGGTGTGCAAGCAGGCAGGCGCGTCCGCTCCCAGGACCGCCGTGGCTCACTGCCGAGCAAGGCCTTGGGGCTGGGAGTGGGGAGTGTGTGCGGGGGAGAGCTGACTCTGCAGGGTGACCCGCCCTGGGTCCCGACCATTTCTGCTTGAGCCTCCATCACCATCGACAGGCAGGCAGGAATTTCCAACAAAGACAGGGATGGGGTGGGAAAAGGGCCTGGTGGGGGGGGGGGGCGCGGGCGGGGGGGAGTGGTGGAGTTTTGAGTCATGAGGCATCCAGAGTGTGATGTCTGTGCAAGAGCCAGAGATAAGATGCGCAGAGATGGCTCGGGCGATTGGGAAGCACGAGGCAGACAGGCCGGATCCGGGGTGAGGTCACCGGAGAAGCAGGGGCCACGGTGAGCCACGCAGCACAGGGGAGCTGAGGGAGCCCAGGGGAGGGCAGGGGAGAGGTGGGAGGGAGGGAGAAACTCGCCTTGGACTTTCTTTTTAAAAGACTTAAATCCTTGGTGTCTGAATAGAGCACTGAGGGAGAGAGTTCAGGAGTTCAAAGCCCCAGGGATCTGGCGCCTGTGGACAGGGGAATGTTGTTCTGGAAGGCTAGAGAAGCCCAGCCTTTGTTCTCTGCCCACAGAGACAGTCCTGGATTCAGTGTGAGATTGGCATCCGCCTATACCAATTTGTAAATACTTTTGGAAATGCCCTGTGCCCAGGAGCCACTTGGCGAAACCTCTTGCTTACTGTGTGGCCGGCCGGCCTTAGGAGAGGTTGAAGGTGAGCGGAGCTGGGAAGGCAGTGAGGGGCCTGGGGAGAGGCGGGGAGGAGGCCCCAGCAGGAAGGGCGGTTCGAGGCGCACCCGCTCCCCACCTGCTTGTCCCACTCTAGCTCGTGCTTTGCCAAGCTTCTGGGTGAGGCCGTGTGCTCTGGCACAACCCATGTTTCCCTTTCCAAACCTTAAGCCCAGTCCTGTTCCCACAGCCCAGCTCGGCAGGCTTGCGCTGGGGAACCAGAGGAGGCAGCCTCAGTGGCCGGGCAGGCACGGTGCTGCGGGGCCCCTGGCCTGACCACCCAACAGGTCAGAGCCGTTAAAGCTCACCCATCCTGGCAAGGCAGAGGATCTGCACAAACCTGCTCTCGGTGACGTTTTTCTTGAGAACACTGGAGAGATCTGAATGTTGACTGAGTGTTACAAAAGGTTAAACTTGACTGACATGGAAAGCTGGATTGTTAACTGAAAAAAAGTTGAAAAAAGCAAATATGGTGTGATCTCATGTTGGACAAAACAATAATGAATATGTATCATAGATGTGAATAGTGGTATTGACTGGGTGCTAAAAATCTTTTCCCCTTATTTTTTCTTATTTTTGTGGTTCTATGTTTTCTCACACTTAAGTTATTTTTGGTCATTGTCTTCAGCTGCTATGGTGAACATACACCTCTTTTTATTATATTAAAAAGTTGCTTTTAACTAAAAAACATTTGCTAAAAATTGCTTTTCTGCAAGAGAACAGGCCCCCCACCCCCCACCCGCCCGGGCTGCCTGAGTTGTGGATGGAGCCACGGTTCTATGGGACAGGAAGAACTAACCTCTCTGCTCCTTTGCTCCCAGCTACAGCTTAGAACGCAAACCTCATCTGAGTTTGACCCATGCTAAGTTGCTTCAGTTGTGTCCAACTCTTTGTGACCCTATGCACTGTAGCCCACCAGGCTCCGCTGTCCATGGGATTTCCCAGGTAAGAATACTGGGGTGGGTTGTCATTTCCTCCTCCAGGGGATGTTCCTGATCTGGGAATTGAACCTACATCGCTGATGTCTCCTGCATTGGCAGGCGGTTTCTTTACCACTAGTGCCATCTGGGAAGCCCCAAGTTTGGCACAAGGTCCAGATAGAGCTAATTATTGCAGAGCAAAAAACAGACTTGACTCTGAATTGATCAGTGATTAGTGAGTGATTTAAAAAAACAACTCAGCCTGGCCTCCTGAACCAACCCAGGCCAGGCCTGCCCCAAACTTCTCTGTATGAAAATCCAACTCCATTTTAATAGTGGGTTGGGGAAATAAAAACACAGAATTTGAATAAATTCTGGATAAAATTTGAATAAATTTGGATAAAGTTGCTAAATGTGCTGTACTTTCCTGCTAGTCCCTGGCAGCACTTGTGGGACTGTCCCACGTACGTCCGGGCACCACTAGTGATGCTGGGCTGGGTACCATGCATGATGTGATAAGACCATCACTCAGGTAGAGAGGGTTTGGGACCAGGGAGGCCGAGATAAACCACAGTTTAACTGGAATGCAATGAGTGCCCTGGAAAACCCATTTCTCTGGGCTTTCTTTCATCTTTTTTTTTTTTTAATTAGTTGGAGGCTAATTACTTTACAATATTGTAGTGGGTTTTGTCATACATTGACATGAATCAGCCATGGATTTACATGTGTTCCCCATCCCGATCCCCCCCACCCCCCACCCTTCTTTCATCTTTTAGAAGGGCTGGGTCAGCCTGGGCCTCCCCTGGCAAGCTCACCTCTCACAAGGCTGTGGCTCAACTCCTCTGGGTCTTGTGTACGGGGCAGGTGAGTGGACAGGCGGTCTGCCCATCTAATGGCACCTGTGCCCTGGACGGAGACACCGCTGGGCATCCACACTCACCGCCGGCCTGGCCCTCTCCTGGCCCCATTCCTGGACCTAGCTCTGCCTCTGCCCTTCAGCCCAGCCCCATTCCTTCCTGGGTCTCTCCTACACTGCCCAGGAAGAGCCAGACACTCTTCGGGTACACTCCCCGATTCCTGGGTGTGGGTGGGTGAAAGCGGAGGTGGGGCGGGAGGCACGGTGTCCCCCCCGGGCTTCCCCTCACTTCCACTTCTGTGGAGCGGGGAAACCGTTCCCTCCTCCTTTGCTGTAAGTCTATAATTTCTCCTGCAAGAGAGGAACATGTCTAAAAAGGACATTATTTGGGGGGAAAAAAAACACGTATTGTCCAACAGCAACAAGGTTACGGCCCTTCCTTCCTGGGACTGTTTGTCCAGATTAGCAGGTGGGTCGAGCTGCACGGGCAGACACCCGCCCCCACTGGGCTCTGGGTCCCCACAAAACCTCGTTTGGGCCAAATACGGTGTGAGCCTCTTCCTGGCTGGAAGGGCTGCCTGGCCGAGCTCACCCTGGGCTGTGGCCGTCGGTGCAGAGCTGGCTTCAGTAATTTAAAAGAAAGAGATGTGGTTGATTTTGATTTTGTGGTTGGTTTGATTCTGTGGGGCATTTGCTACCATTTTTTCCCCCACAACTGTGCTCTAAGACAAATTGTAGTATTTAGATAAAAGTCAGGAACAGGAAGACCTCTTTCAGTTCCAAAATTTCTGAGTACATTGCTTTGCAGAGTGGAGGTGAGTTATCCTCCTTCAGGGCTGAAGTCTGTGGACCGTGTGGTTTGCTGCCCTCTTGTGGCAGAGAAGGGATCCGGGGCTGGCGTTCCCCTCGGACGTGGCCTCGACCCCGCATTTGTTGGGACAGTTGGGGCGCTGCTGCTGGGCAGCCTGTGGGGCAGGAGGGACCTCCCCCCTGGTCTCCATGTATGAGATTCTGGACTAGTCCAGTGACTGTTCACAGAAGCGAGGTCTCAGGGCAACAACACACACCTTGGCCGCCACAGAGGAGCTGGGGGACCCTTCCCTCACTGGGCGGCCAGAGCTGAGCTGCTTCCTTTGTGAACAGAAACGAGACGTGTGAAAACAGGCCTCGCTTCCTGCTCCTTCCTTCTCTACTCAGTGATGGTTACTTCTGCAGACGTCTCTCCCTTCCCAGCTCCTGAGTGGTCCTGCTCTGCCTCCTGTTGGGGCTGAACCGGGACCCTCAGAATCCTTGTGCTGAAGCCCTGCCCCTCAGGGTTTTGGAGACAGGGCCTGTGAAGAGGTGAAAAGCAGGCTGTTAGGTGGCCCTGACCCCATTTGACTGGTGTCCTTAGATGAGGGGGAGATAAGGCCAAGGACAGGGCCTTGGGAGGAGCCACCCTGCTGATGCCTGGACCTGGGCCTTCCCGCCTCCGGAATGCGTCGCGTGAGCCATCGCCTGTGGTGTTTTGGTGCTGGCAGCCCCAGTGAATGAACACACGAGCTGACAGAGTGCCATCTCTAAAGGGCAGTGGTTGCACCTGGCTTAAAGGACACAACCACATGGACTCCCTCTGGGGCCTGGCCACACAGTGTTTGTCCAGAGGCTCTGGAGATAAAACACTGAGCAGCTGTCCTCCATTTTCATTTGGTTGCCATAGCGACCTACTTTATAGATGACTACATTCTCAGGAGTTATCCTGGCCAGGGTCACCCAGGTCATGGGGAGAAGCAAGATTCAAACCCGGCCTGCCTCCATCTCTCTTTCTCTCGGGCTCAGAGCAGAGGACACGGGTGCAGGGAAGGTCAGGGGACACAGGCCTGGACTGTGAGACTGTCTGGCTTGAAGGTCGGCAACTGGTGAGAAGATGGATCCGTAAGCCCCGCTGGTTCCTGCAGTGGTGGCTGGGCCTCTTGCTTATTAACCCACCCCCCCAAAACGCCATTCTTCTGGACACTCTCAAATAGTCTCCTCGAGGCAGGTGGTCTTATCACATCCAGACACCACCCTTAGGCTGAAAGGTCTCTCTAACAAGCTCACCGGTCTGAACTGACAGACCAAGCGAGGCCATGTACATTCTGGTCTTCATCCACAGTGACTCCTGACCACACTGTTATTCTTTCAAAACACATTTTATTAGTGGCACATGGAATTTAAAGTGAAGCAATTTCTTTCCAGAGAGAAAGTAAGCCCTGACAGGTTATAAAAAAATGAGCAGATATGTCATAGCAAAAATACTGTCTCCAGTGTAAAGAGGCTAATAGGAATACTCTCCACCAAGGAAATGAGGATCTTTACCATGCTGACCACAGTGGACACCCAGTTCAGCTGGGGAAACCCACAGCACTGGACAGTCACAGATGCTGTTAAGTTGGGGTCACCTAGACACTGACTGGCCCTTCCTGTCATAGGAGAGGCAGAGAGGTCACAAGCCCCACAGTTCACTGGGAGGAACTGGAGGTCTGGGAGGCGGAAGCTGGCTGGGGGGAAAAACAAGATGAGCAGGCTCAGGAGTGAGCCCGAGAAAGCTCTTAATCTTGGGAGGGGCTCCAGGGTGCCCATGACAACCCTTCAGCTGCAGCTCAGAGCCAGGGGTCAGCAGAGGGTCCTTTTACAGCGTTTGGAAACACGTCTGTATTGGTAAGTTCAGAGAAGATCTGCACTTTCTTAACAAAATCAGTTTTTCTGTTTCTTTTACCTAATGTTCTTTCGACTCCGAATGAGCTCTGCAACATTCAACGTTCCGTTAACTGCCGCCTGTCCCCCCTTCACCTCTTCCACTGGCTCCTTCCTGCCCGCCTCACCCTGCACTGGGTCCTGCCCCAGAACCCTCTCCTCCGAACCCCCACACCCCTGAGCCTCCAGCCTGTCACTGCTGCAGGTCCCCCAACTCCAAAAGCCGTTCCCTGCACCGAGGCCCTTTCTGTACCGTTAAGATCTTGCTGTTTCTTCTTTCTAAACCTCAGACAATGGGGATTATTCATGAGGAAGGCTCCGTGGAGTTTGTCATCCTCACTGGTCTTATTTTGATCTTAACATGGCTTTCCTCATACACTTTGGAACCCACCCCCAACCAGACACTCATCAAAGCAACAAAACGAGTGACAGACTGCAGAATTTTTCCATTTCTAGATCTAATTGATGAAGCTAAGTCTCCCACCAGGAGACTGTGCGTCACCTCCAAGCTAGCTTCTAGAATACAGCTTCCGGGGGCTTAGGACAGGTCAATGATGCTCGTGTCGCCGCCGTCAATGCCCGAGCAGAGCTTGCCGTCCTTGGCGGCCGCCCAGGGCATGGACGTGGAGGTCCACTTCACCGCCCACTCTCCTGCTTTGTTGACCATGATGATACCACCTACGCCTTTGACCTTGGACTTCATGTGACCCAACGACGCGTCGGCAGCTTCTTCTAGTGATTTTCCTGAAAAACAACGAGAGGTTGAGAACAGCACAAGTTATTGAAAGGAGTCTGATGGGGAAATTATTTACAGTATGCAAAAAACAAAGCGTGTTAACAAAGATTATTGGTAAGTGAGTTCTACTTGAATGTCTCAGACAATAACTCTCAGCTCTCTCTACAAGGCCCCTCCGCTCCACTGGGATGACCCAGGCCCAGAGTCTCTCTTCTGCCCCCTGGAGGCAGAAGGTGAATGGTACTCCAAATTCTCTTTCTGCACCCTAACAGATGGGGACTCAACCTCAAAGCAAAGCCAGGGTTTCCCACCCCTCTCCATCTATTTATGAGCAGCCTCCCGGGTCCACGTACCCTGTTCAACATGGAAGAGCGCGAGTCTGGCCAGATTCACCTTCAGGATGCTCTCACCGTGCCCCGTTGTGGAGACGGCGCCGATGTTATTGTCAGCGTAACCTCCAGATCCTGCTCAAGGAAGGGGATCGGTTCTAACTGCGCAGCAACAGTCAGCAAAGTCAAACACATATTACAGGTCTAACGCTACATGAAAATTAAATCCCAAGAGTGCCGGGGTGTCATGCCAAGGTGCGCTAGTGACCACCGAGCGAATAACCTGAGATCAGGGGATGGGGGTGGGGGGAGCGTCAGGGAGGCAGGTCTGACCTTTCCTGGAGCAGCTATACCAGCGCAGCTCCCCCTTTGCCCTCGGGCATATCTCCATAGCCCTCACAGGATGAAACATATACACACCCTCTCCCAAACACACACACTCCTGGGAATTAGATAATGTGCTCCAGGGTTAATGCAAAGAACACTTTGATGTGTAATATCTTTTTTTTTTTTTTTGGTTGTGCAGCATACACAATCTTCCCTGACCAGGGATCAAACCTCTGCCCCCTGCCCTGAGCATGCATAGTCTTAACCACTGGACCACCAGGGAAGCCCCTGTAATATCTAGTGGTGCTGTGCTGCTCTTACGCCACTCTAGTCTAATAACTGCAGACTTAAATTGTCAGCTTTCTTAGTTTGCTCATTTGAGCCCATACTTGGGAAGAGGTTTCACGTACTTAACCCTTTGGGCATAATTAGTCTGCAGATTGTGAAATGGGTTACAGAGAAGAAACAGGCATCAGGGGTGCTGGGGTGACTTCAGCACCCGTCTCCACCTCACTCCCAAGTCATTCCTAAAACACAGCATCTAGGAATCAGGTACCTGCTGGACAAGCCACCTTCTCCACGCTGTCCCTGGACAACTGTCCCCAACTCAGGCCACCCCCAGAAATTCTACAGCTGCCTCAGGAAGAGGAAGAAAGAAATGAGGCAGGGGGCGGAGACCAGAGAATGAGGAACGAGACGACAGCGGTGGGCAGGGGCGGTCACCTGCCCAGCTCACCTATACACGGCGTGTCCCCGACGCGGCCCAGCATCTTGTTGACGATGCCCCCCGTTGAGGTTGCGTAAGCCACGTTTCCTTGGCAGTCCACGGCAACAGCACCCACAGTCCCCAAGTTTCTGCCAAAAAACAGAAAGAGTGACAGGCTGGAACATGAGACACTCCCAAAGGTGACAATGTGGCTTAATACACTTTTATGTTAATGGCACATGGGATATGCTTTGATTCTAGCATTCCCCACTCACAGAAGACAGTGAAGAAAGCCTGTTTGGTTTACATTCCACACATCAGTCAGACTGCTGGATGCACCTTTAGACCTCAACTTTAAAGGGTCCGTGCAGTCCTGGCACCATCACCTTCTAGCTGGGTGACTGAGTTTCATTTTCCCCATCTATAAAACAGGGATACAAATAATTGAGCACTACTTAAACTTTTGGGTGCACCAGCATCCCTTGGATCCTCAGCTCCCCATCCCAGTCCAGAGGCCCTGAGTTTGCAGGTGTGAGATGGGACAGCCGCCCAGGTGATACTGATGATAACTGTCCACACACCTCATTCTGCCTGTCATGGGGGTTTGCTATGAAGATGAAATAAGCTGTTTTTACTCTAACATTTCTTTTTTTTTTAATTTAAATTTATGAAAATGGAGGATAATTGCGTTACAATATTGTGTTGGTTTCTGCCATACATCAACATGAATTAGCCATATACTCTAACATTTTATTATAAACCTTGAAGTAAAAAAGTTGAAGGAAATTATACACTAACAGCCACATACCCACCACCCTGATTCTATAGTGAACGATATTGGAGGCGACCTTCTAAGTGCTGGGACACAGCAGAAAACTAAGTGGACAAAATCCCTTCGCCCAGAAAGTTTGCATTCAGGGCACAGGGTGACATAGCAATGAAATATGTCAGGTTTTACTCAACAGAAATAAACTACAGCCTATAGCAGCACATGGGGCACGTGATGGTGGAGAGGTGGTTTTATAAAGGCCTCTCTCAAGAAGTGAGGACAAGTCATGCTGATTGCTGGTGAAGAACATTCCGAAAGCAGGATATGCTTTCCTAGTTCATGGAAATTCAAGGCGGCCACTGTGGCTGGAGAGAACAAAGTGAGGGAGAGGGCGGCAGGGTCAGAGGGGCAGCCAGCAGGCAGACCACGAGGCTCTGACAAACAGGGTGACAGCACATCCTGGTTTCCCAGGTCCGTCCTGTTTAAGCCGCTGCCCTGGCTTAATTAATACTGCCCCTCCCTTTCACTCTCAAAACTAAGTTCCAGTTTGAACACTGAATCACAGGGTCATCCTGTTTACAGGCCACAGGAAGGGCTTTCAGTTTGAGCGAGGTGAAAAGACGCTGAAGAGTTTGAGCTGAGAGGTGTCATGATACGAGTTAAGTTTTAAAAATGACTGTTCTTACCACTGCACCCATTAAGTTTTCCACTGAAAATGAAAGTGGCTCAGTCATATCCGACTCTTTGCGACCCCATGGACTGTATAGTCCATGGAATTCTCCAGGCCAGAATACTGGAGTGGGTAGCCTTTCCTTTCTCCGGGGGATCTTCCCAACCCAGGGATTGAACCCAGGTCTCCCACATTGCAGGAGGATTCTTTACCAGTTGAGCCACAGGAGAAGCCCAAGAATACTGGAGTGGGTGGTCTATCCCTTCTCTGGCGGATCTTCCCGACTCAGGAACCGAACCAGGGTCTCCTGCACTGCAGGCAGATTCTTTACCAACTGAGCTATGAAGGAAGCCCAACCTATTCGCTGGCATGGCTAAAATGAAAAGCGATGTGGCATCAAGTCTGGGCACAGAGTGCAGGGACTGGGAATCTCAATGACCACTGCCAAGGACATGGACTGATGTGGCACTTTGGGAGGAAAGGAAACCGAGCCCCTCCTTTTTTCCCGTTTTTTGACTGCGCCTCACGGCATATGGGATCTTAATTCCCCAACCAGGGATTGAACCCACAACCCCTGCAGTGTAAGCACCGAGTCTTAACCACTGGACCGCCAGGGAAGTCCCTGACTCAGCCATTCTATCCCTACATTTCTATCCAACAGAAACGTGAAGTGAGCTCACCAAGCAAGCAGACAGAAGGTCCACAGCAGCACCATCTGTAATATCGGCAAACTGCAAATAACACAAGCGCCCGTCCAAGTAAATAACCTGTGGCACAGGCAGGAGACAGCACACTTTGCCACAGCGAGCGTGGACCCTGCTGCACGCGACAGAGGGACGGGTCTCGGGAACTTAAGGAGAGAAGGCGCCCAACCGAAGACCACGCCACACGATCTGCCTCAGGTGAAGCTCAGAAACCAGCATCAGGAGCCCACGAGTTGGGAGCCGAGGGGGCGGTGCTGGAGCGGGGATGCTGGGCTGCAGGTGATGCCTGGCTCTGGGCGCTGATCACCCTGTCCACCCTGTGAAAACTCACCCGGTGCTCTGGAGACGATCTATGCGCTCAAGAGTGTCTGCTATTCCTCTGCAGAAGTCATCTTAGGAGAACTCAGCTCTGGCTGCTATGGGTGGACTGAGGGAGGCCAGAGAGGAAACAGACCGCTTGGGAGGCGTAGAGGCAGCGGTTTGTGTAGCATGCTTCAGGAGAGGGTGGGAAGGAGGCTGGACCTGTCACGGCTGGTGGCAGCCCCCCAACCTGGAGGGGGCGGCCAAGGCAAAAATGCAAAGGCAAATGGAGGCCCACACACGTTTAATACTTAGAAGTAATAAGTATGCTCTATCCTCTTACATGATAAATGTATATTGAGAAATATTGTAAAGCTACGGTTTTCATTTGACTGAAAGCTGACAACTACTAATGATGACAATTTAATTACTATCACGCACATCCTCTGTTGATCAGTTGTGATGTCTGGATGAGTGGGGGGAAAAAAACCCCACAGGCACATACGCAATCATAAATTATAATGCATTTATTCCGTAAAACTGATTTTCCTTGCTTCCAACCCAGGGGGCATGGACCATGTTCTTATGATCAACATTTTCATGTAACATGTATTCTGTTGACAAAGTGCCAAATAACACAACTTCTCTTGACTCAATGTATTAATAATTCTTTAACAAGTTTTTAATTAATTTGAACTTGGAGAAGCTTCACTCTGCTGAGGCAGTAGCATTGGAATTATATACAAAACTCTTAAAGCAATACTTAGCTTTGGAAATGAATCCTGATTTTCACATTAGTGCACTCAAATGCTATATGAGGCTGCAAATAAGTTGTTGACAAGGAGATTTCACTAAATATTTTAATTTGAACATTTAAATCATAATCACTGTATTACAGTCACTTCTGTCATCTCTTAAGCAGTGTCTCGATCCATGCAGGCAATCTTAAATTCTTCTTTCAAATTTCAATGGTGGTGTAAAGAAAATTGAAAATCGTAGTACGTTGCTTAATTTTCTTCAGCTCTCTCTTCAAATGATACTTACACTTCAATTTACAACAAACAGAATAACAGTCTCCATAGAAACTGGTTTCAGGATCATTTGTACATGCATCTTCTCCTTCAAGTTAGGCAAATATTTTCCCTTATTTCAATTTCCTTATATTTTATGAGGATTTCATTTTTCTTGCATATCTCACATGCACTTTTAGCTTTGTTCCTCTAAACTTTAAAAAAGATTTCTAATCCTTTAATAAGTGTAAAAGCCAAACAGATTTTTTTTAAAGCTTCTGTTAAGCTTATCAATAGAGGGGAACAGTTCAGACTAAATAACTGTAGATCATGAAAATTCAAAATTCATTTCATATTCTGTCAAAGTCCATGACTTGTTCTCTGAGAAACTTCTGTAATTTTTGCTGAACTCTTCTTATTTAGTCACAGCATTTCAGTTCAGTTCAGTCACTCAGTCGTGTCGAACTCTTTGCGACCCCATGAATCACAGCACGCCAGGCCTCCCTGTCCATCATCAACTCCCGGAGTCCACCCAAACCCATGTCCATTGAGTCAGTGATGCCATCCAACCATCTCATCCTTTGTCATCCCCTTCTCCTCCTGCCCCCTATCCCTCCCAGCAGCAGGGTCTTTTCCAATGAGTCAGCTCTTCACATCAGGTGGCCAAAGTACTGGAGTTTCAGCTTCAGCATCAGTCCTTCCAATGAACACTCAGGACTGATCTCCTTTAGGATGGACTGGTTGGATCTCCTTGCAGTCCAAGGGACTCTCAAGAGTCTTCTCCAACACCACAGTTCAGAAGCATCAATTCTTCGGCGCTCAGCTTTCTTCACAGTCCAACTCTCACATCCGTACATGACCACTGGGAAAACCACAACCTTGACCAGACGGACCTTTGTTGACAGCACTTAGTTGGTATATAAGTCTGTTGTAAGGTCAGATGTGAGTCTAATCCAGACTTTCCAGCTTTGGCCACACCCAGAATATCTCGCAGTGGACCCTCTGCTGTCCCACATCACTTTCAGTATTGGAGCAGTTGAGGACTTGTCTCTAAGAAGGAAATTCACTGTGAGCTGACGTGTCACACAGAACACTTCTGGACTCTTGGCCCAACTTCGTGCTTACACACCTTTTATGTGCCCACCATGTTAGCTTAATTATTATAGGCTTTCCTTGTTTTCTCAACATGTCTTCTGATCATGGTACATTCTAGTGGAAGTGAGTTTTTTTAAACTTCATATATGATTTCATCTCTCTCTTTATTACCCATTAAACAAATCTATCTGAATTCTCTCTCCTAGATATTCATCTTAAGTTTTTTCCCCCTAATTACATTTGGCATTTTATCAAATTTTGAAATAATGTTTACTAAGCCTAGAAATGTCCCATTAAAAAAATTTTATTTTTAAATTTATTTATTTTTAGCTGTGCTGGGTCTGTGTTGCTGCACAGGCTTTTCTCCAGTTGTGGATTGTGGGAAGCATCTCTTTCTTGTGGTGAAAGGGCTTCTCATTGTGGTGACTTCTCTTGTTGTGGAGCATGGGCTTCAGGGCATGCGGCTTCAGCAGCTGTGGCACATGGGTTGAATAGTTGTGGCTCCCAGGATCTAGAGTACTGGCTCAACAGCTGTGGTGCACGGGCTAAGCTGTTCCATGGTATGTGGAACCGTCCCAGATCAGGGATCGAACTGCCTGCCCACTGAGCCACCAGGGAAGCCCTCCCATTGTTTTTTTATAAACACTATGTGATGAGGTCATAAAAGCACTGTTATACTTGGCCAAATATTATTAGTTTTCTAAAGATTTTTCTTGATGTGGACCGTTTTTAAAGTCTTTACTGAATTTATTATGACACTGCTTCTGTTTTACGCTTTGACTTTTTGGCTGCATTGGAAGGTGAAGTCTTAACCACTGGACCACCAGGGAAGTCCAAAATATTATATTATTCTTTCAAGAACATTACATCTATGTTTTTTATCTTTGCCTTTTCTGGTTATCAACTGTCTGCTGTTTATTCAGCCTTTCCCCTCCAATTCCAATAACTTCACATGTCGTTTTCTGGTGTATGATTCTTTGTGATTAGCAATTAAATCTTCCTTTAGTAAAGAACATGAAGCTGTCAGGATTTATCTGAACTGTTCAAGTTGTGGCTTTGGCAAGAATATTTCTAATTTTAATTGTTTTGATACATAATTAAATCTTCATTGAACAAAGAATATGTAATGTTCTCTTTGTGAATTTTATGTGGGTCATCCTAGAAGAAGACTGCTTACTTTTAAAGCAGACCATTTCTTTGAAGATTTTTTTACTCCTTTTTTCCTTTCAGTTTTGTTTTGTGAGTTCCACTTTAGTATTCTTTTTCTATCAAAATCTTGACTTGTACACATTTTCAATAATCTAGGAATTAGAAAGTGAAATGTAACTATACTGACAGTGTACAACATCAGTGTATATTTTCATCAAAATTAAGGGCAAATCCAAAAAAAGAGAATAAAAGTAATTTGTAGATATAATTTCAAGTGTTAGTTTTTTCTAAAATTCACAAAACTATTAAGACCTAAACAGTTATTATAATTAATGAATAGAACCATTTTAAGTAAAAATTACCTAAAAGTCAAATATTTCAACATTTAAAAAAATTTAATTCAACCTTAAGTATTACTTTTTTGGGGCGGGGGGCTGCCCTAGGTCTTACTTGCTGTGTGTGGGATCTAGTTCCATGACCAGGGATCATATCTGGGCCCCCTGCATTGGGAGCACAGAGTCTTAACCACTGGACCACCAAGGAAGTCCCTCAATCTTAAGTATGTTTATAAGAATAAAACCATTCATAGTTCTAATAGCATCCATTTAGCTGCCAGCATGAAGAGCTGGTTCCCTGTGCAGGTTCTGTCTAGACCTACACTGCCCAACACAGCACCGCTAGCTGCTGAGCACCAGAGATGCGGGTGGTCCCCGGTAAGACATGCTGTCAGTGCAGAATGCATGGCAGGTTTGAAAGATTCAGCACAAAAGCATGTAAAATATCTCAGAAATAATTTCTTATGTTGATTATATGTTTTTTAAAAAACTCATTTATCTTTAATTGAAGGATAATTGCTTTACAATATTGGTTTGGATTACATGTTGAAATGATAATGTTTGGGGTATAATGAGTTAACCATAAATATGATTAATTTCACTCATTTTTTTTTCTTTTTTAATGTGGCTATTAGAAAAGGTTAAATTACATATATGGCTCTCATTTTTTTCTATTGGATAGTGCGAGTCTAGACCTACATATTCACAAACCTAAGAGTAGCGGCAATCAGCCCTCAGTGCAAATCTTGCAGATACGTGGATAACTCCAGAATTGCAAACTGAACCATGTAGAAATAAAAAGGACACTTGGCACTACTGGGAAACAACACTTCATTATACAAGAATTTGTTTCAAGAAACATTGTCTTTTTTTCTTACCTAAGTCCTTCTGCTGTTCAGTTCTTCCCCCACACTCCAAAGCAGGAGTCTATTTCTGATGTCAGCAGTGGTATAATCCACAAGCTTTTAGACTCAGGTGTCCTTTACTTCCAAGAGACAGAGCAAGAGATGCAGAGAAGCACTTTCCTGGGGGCTGAATGATATCAGTCACAAGAGCGGATGTTGAGGGCAACGGGCAACGCTGTGCCACGGCTGAGTGACAGAGGTGGCCCACGGGTCTGCAATAAACCAACTGCTTGTGTATTTGCACTATGCTGTTGCCTGTGGGCTAAGTTGCTTAATTGTGTCCGACTCTTTGCAACTCCATGGACTGCAGCCTGCCAGGCTTCTCTGTCCATGGGCTTCTCCAGGCAAGAATACTGGAGTGGGCTGCCATTTCCCTCCTCCGGGGATCTTCCCAACCCAGGAATCAAACCTGCATCTCCTGTGTCTCCTGCACTGTAGGCCGTAGGTGGTTTCTTTACCCACTGAGCCACTGAGGAAGCCCATTTGTGATATGGGGGTCTTCTAAAGTGCAGGGCCCAGGGCAGGAGCCCCTCTTGCTTATTTGGAAGAACAGTACAGGCTGGTAGAGATGGTGTTGTTGCAGAAATTTTGGAAACAATGTGGCAATATCTATTAAAATGGACATGAACCACTGATAAAGCAACCCCACAGACACAACAGCACCTTTGGTAAAGATTATCAACAGCTACCAACATATGGCCAATCTTGTGAAGCAGATTCTTAACCTGGGGACATATCGTAGTCACCTGGAAAACTTTTTTTCTAATGGACCTGCATGGCCTCTCCACCTCAGCTCCACTAAATCAGATCCTGTAGGAAAGGAGCTCAGACATGTATATTTTGAAAATGCTCTTAAGGTGATACTAAAGTATACCTCTGATTAAACATTACAAATCTAAAGGGTGTGTAGAATTAATAGATTATATTCCATTATATTCCTTATTCTGGGCCGCATTCAAATTTTATTTTTCAAGTTTTGCTTTAAACAGGGGGGCTTTTATTTGGCACTTTTGAATGGGTAACACGAAAAACAATAAATCACAACACATGATTAATTCACTTTCCAGGGCTATGCTGACTTCTCTGCCCTGTGGAAGGTGCCTAAGTTCACAGGGTGGTGTAGATCACAGAGGACCTGTGCAGTGTACTGAAGACAACAAACTGATCAAGAAGCTTGCACGTAATTAATACATCAACACCCAGCATTCATCTGTCAAATCATGTTGGAAAAGGAACTCTCAGCTGACTATGAATAACTATTCATAGGAGTAAAAAATGAGGTTAAATTTCAGAATCAAACGAGCAGCTTTTCCATTATTTAGTGTGAACTATTCTGGCAACCCACTCCAGTATTCATGCCCGGAAAATCCCATGGACCGAGGAGCCTGGGGGGTTACAGTCCATGGGGTCGCAAAGAGTCAGACACGACTGACTTCAGCTCTTCAGCTCATTCTATACAAAACCTGAAATTACCTGTGATATTGGACTTTTTAAAGAAATGTAGATAATCAGACATGTGTCAAACTTCCACATCTGGATAACTCCCCAAAATGTGAGCCACAGATGACACTTACTTCTGACAGTCTGCTTTCTGAGCATCTTTTTCAAGCTTTTCTTTTTCCAGGTGTTTTTTGCTTCTTTCTGTTACCAGCTGTTGTTCAGGAATTGTGGGAATCCCATTGGCTGCTGCAAATTTTGCTGCACCTTGGTCAGTCAGAAAGCAGTGAGGTGTCTTGAGCCAGAAAGAAATGGGAAAATAGTTAGTTTCTTGAAAAAGTTAAACTCTTTTTAATAGTTCCAACTGTGTGGAAATAATTGTTCTCTTTGGGTAAAAGCCTCAAGAATGCAAATTCCATTGGCATAATTTTCTGAATGTTGAAAAAAGCCTACCTCTCTGAGTTTTTGTATTTTAAAAAACCACCAAATGATGGAATATTAGGAATTCAACTTACATATGATCTTACATTTTAATCCATTTTTATTTTATGTATGCTATTTATTTATTTATTATGCTGCACAGTTTCTGAGGTCTTAGTTCCCTGACCAAGGATTGGCCCCGGCTCCTGGCAGTGGAAATGCAGTGTCCAAACCATTGGACCACTGGGAAATTCTCCCATACATGCTATTTCCACAGCTGGTCTCTTCAGTTTGAATATGTTATGTTACCATGTGTTGAGAACAGGCTGAAGAAAATACAGGAAGATAACATGTAACACCTGGTCAAGTGATCATGAGTCAGAATCTTGGTTTCCTTGAGAAATTTAAATAATAACATTGCTTTTGTTTTTTCATACAATTTTAGGAGAACAGTGATCTCAAGTGTTTCCCCACAGTCAGACCCCTTTTGGTTGCTGAAATGCAGCAGTGACAGTTCCTTAGGAAAGGGTGGTTTGGTCCCACATACCTTGTCCATAACAAGTCGTGCAAGTTTAATGGGATTTGCGATACAGCGGACTGCAGACACCGCCCCTGCAGACAGGTCTTTCCCATTCATGATACTGGCATCCATTTCAACCTCCCCATTTTCGTTCAAGACAGATCCACAACCTAAAACCAAAGAGAAGTCGAAAAGCAAGCGTTAAGAATTTAGGAATGGCTTCAGAGCTTGCTAAGCTGCCTACTTTAATTCATACTCTACTTCTCTGTCAAAGGAACATTTCTAAAAACACAAATCTGACTCGGCACCCTGTGACCTACAAAATAAAAGTTATGAAGCCCTTCATGATCTGGCCTCTGACTTACTTTTCCAGCTTCACCTCCTCTCCATGGCAACATTTTACTGCAACATTAGGTTTCCTTGAACTTATTAAAACCATCGGGTCTCATTACTCTGTCTTCTTTACCACTAGCAGCTTTTCTCCAACATTCTCTACCTGGATAATACCTCTACGTGTATTCTTAAGCTCTATGTAGCTCTGTTTCCTCAGAGGGATAAGAACAAAGCTCAACAATATTTAAAGGAGTACAAAAATATCCAGCACCTAACAAGTGTTTTGGTATCTAATAAGAAACAGGAAATTAAGACCCATATGAGGAACAACAACAACAACAACAAAATCAATCAATAGCAACAGACTCGGAAATGACATAAATCATGGCATTATTAGACAAGAACCTTAAAGCAGCTGTTGTAACTATTCTATATGTACCAGAATGTGTAAGAAAATATGAAAAGGGCCCAAAGAGAACTTCTAGAAATGAAAAATACACTGTATAGGATTAATACCAAATTAGACACTACAAAAAAGATGAATGAACTTAAGACATAGGAAAAGACTGAAAAAAACTTGAACAGAGTTTATCACTGAGCTCGGGGACAGCTTCAAGCAGTCCAGTACACGTGTAATTGGAATCCACAAAGGAGAGGTGAGACAGAGGGACAAAAAACGTTTAAGGAAATGATGAATTTTCAAATTTGGTGAATACTATAAATTCACAGACTAGAAAAGCACAACAAACTCCAAGGAAAAGAAACATGAAGAAAACTACACTCAGGCATACCCTGATCAAACAGCTTAGTGCTAATGAGAAGAGAAAATGGTAAAAGCAGCCAGAGAAAGACACATTAGGCATAGAAGGAAAAAGAAAAATGACAGCCTATTTGTTGCCAGAAACAATGCAAACCAGAAGACAGAGGAGCAACATCTTGGAAGCTCTGAAAGAAAAAAAAGTGTCAAGTTGGGATTCTACACACAGGAAAAGTATCTTTAAAAAACCCCAAACAAAGACTTTTATAGACATACAAAAGCTAAAAAAAAAAAAAAAAGTCATCAACAGCAGCTGTGCAACACAAGAAATGTTAAAGGAAGTCTTTCAAGCAGAAGGAAAATGATCTTAGACAGCAATCAGGATTCCCCCAAACAATGAAGAACACTGCAAACAGCTAACATGTGGATAAGCAGAAATCCCTTTCCCCTTTACTTTTGTAGTATCTTTAAAATATAACTGTTTAAAGTAAAAATAATAACGATGCATTGGGTAACTTATCACTTATAAAACATATGAAAACAGTAGCACAAAGGCTAGGAAAGGAGAAACAGGCATATGCTGATAAAGTTCTTCTATTATGCATGAAGCTTGATATTACTTAAGGTAGACTGTGATAAGTGAGAGATGTATACTATAAACTCTAAAACAACCTTTAAAAAAGTTTAGTTACTAGGCCAACAAAGGAGGTAACATGGAATTATAAACATTCAATTATTCCAAAAGAAGGCAGAAAAAAGTAGAAAAAGAGGAAAAGGGGAACAATGAATAGATTGGACCAAGAGAAGACAAATAGCAAGATGACAAATTTGTGCCTAACCATATCAGTGATCATGTTAAATGGAAATGGTCTGAAAATCTCTATTAAAAGCCTGCCAGGCTTCTCTGTCCACGGGGAATCTCCAGGCAAGAATACTGGAGTGGGTTGCCATGCCTTCCTCCAGGAGATCTTCCCAACCCAGGGATCGAACCCAGGTCTCCCGCTTTGCAGGTGAATTCTTTACCATCTGAGCCACCAAGGAAGTCCCGGTAAAAAGCAGAGATTGTCAAATTGTATGAAAAGATAGGACATAATTACATGCTGCCAATGAAAAATCTACTTTAAATATAAAGATGCAAATAGTTTAAAAGTAAAAGAATGGACAAATTATATACCATGCCAGAATGAATCAAATGAAGACTGGAACAACTATACTAACATCAGGCAAAGCATACTTCACAATAAGAAGCATTAAATAATAATAAGGACACTAAGCAATGATATGGGGGGTCAGTTTGAGAAGTTATAGATTGAGAAGACAACAATCTATACACCAGGTAAGTTTCAAAATACCTGAAGCAAACACTGATAGAACTCAAAGGAGAAAAAGACAAATCCACCATTACAATCAAAGACTTCAATACTCCTGTCTCAATAATCAGTAGAAATAAACAGTCAAGATACAGAAGGTGTGAACAACATTACCAATGAACTTGACCTTACTGTTCTCTGTAGCAACAGCAGAGTACACTCTTTTAAGTGCAAATGGGCATGGTAGAGCACATTCTGAGCCAAAAAGCAAACCTTACGAAGTTTAATAAGAATGCAAATCACATAAAGCACATCCTCTGATTGTAACAGAATTAAACTAAAAATCAGTAACAGATATTTGGAAAATCCACAAATATTTGGAGATTAAGTATTATATTATTATATTTCTAAATAATTCATGATATAATAAGGAAGTCACAAGGAAAATTAGAACACATTTTGAGTGGAATGAAAATCAAGACAACATATAAAAACAGGTAAGAAAAAAAATCAAAGCAGTGCTAAGGTAAAATTTAAAACATTAACTGCTTATATCAGCAAAGAATAGTCTCAAATTAATGATCTACCTGGAAAAAGAAAAGTAAATTATTTCCAGTGCAAGCTGAATTAATAAAGGAAATAACAAAGATAAATCAAAGAAATTCAGGACAGAAAAAGAGCAAAAGAAAAAAACAACAGAAAAATTCACAAAATCCATCCCCCCAAAACAAAAGCTAGTTCTTTGAAAAGAACAATAAACTTGATAAACTCTAGACTAAGAAAGAAAAAAAAAAGACATAATTACAGATATCAGGAATGAAAGAAGGAACCTCTCTACAGACCATATAGATATCAAAAGCATAACACAGAAATGTTGCAAATTCAGCAACTTATATAAAATATAAACATTTCTTGAAAGACAACTGACAAAACTCAAAGAAGAAATAGATAACCTGAACAGTGCCATGCCTATTAAAGAATTTGATTTCTTAGATAAAAACTTTCCATCAAAACAAACAAAAATCAGTCTACCAATCTGCCAAAAACCAATCTACAAAATATTACAAAGAAATAATGCCAACTTTATATAAATTCTTCGAGAAAAACAGATGAGAAGGGAACACTTTTCAATTCATCATATGAAGCCAGAATTATTCTCATTTCAAAACCAGACAGATGTTATAAGAAAATCAAACTATAGACCAGTATCTCTCATGAACATAGATGCAAAATCTTAAGAAAACACCATCAAATCAAACTCAGCATTTTATGTATATATCACATATATGTAATGTGATATATATATATACACACACACATATACATATATATGTACATATATCACAACAAAGTGGTGTTAATCCCAGAGAAGAAAACCTGGTTCAAAATTCAAAAATCAATCAGTCAATCTTCACCATGTCAACAGACAAAACAAAAACCATATGATCATCTCAACAGATGCAGAAAAAAGGACTGGATAAAATTCAACATTCATACCTGATTAAAAAAATCTCAAAAAACTAAGAATAAGGTGGGACTTCCCTGGTGATCCAGTGGTTAAGAATCCACCTTGCAATGAAAGGGACACCGGTTTGATCCCTAGTCTGGGAAGATCCCACATGCTTCAGAGCAACTAAGCCTGTGGGCCACAACTACTGAGACCATGGGCTGCAACTGCTGAAGCCCTGCACCTAAAGCGTGTGTTCCGCAACAAGAGAAGTCCTGGAGACGAGAAGCCTGCACACCGAGATGAAGAGTAGCCCCAACTCCTGGCAACTAGACAGAGTCTGTAGGGAAAAGTCTGTAGAGAAAACTGTAGGGAAAATAAATTAACTATTTAAAGTTTTGTGTAAATACTGCTCAATTCCAGTGAAAGCAAAGGGTCCCTGTTTGGTTGCTAATCTGAGTCTCTAAAGAATATTTCTAGCATTCAAATTTAAACTGTTGGTGTCCAGTGCTCGGGCCTGGTGCACTGGGAAGACCCAGAGGGATCGGGTGGAGAGGGAGGTGGGAGCGGGGACCGAGATGGGGAATACATGTAAATCCATGGCTAATTCATTTCAATGTATGACAAAAACCACTGCAATGATGTAAAGTAATTAGCCTCCAACTAATAAAAATAAATGGAAAAAAAAAAGAAAAAAAAAACTGTTGGTGTCCAATAAATAAACTACTTTTTAATAAACAAAGTGTTATGAAACAAGTTTCAAATATAAAATGAAACCTATATTGAAAGATCAATACAATGTGAACAATGTTTTAACAGACATTCAGATAAGCTTTGTTATGAATGCAAATTATTGCCACCTAACTCAGTAACTGCCAGGGCTCAGCTTTTTGTATCCAGTTCCCAAATAGTTCCTCTAGAGGATTATAGAAGAGGTTGCTGAAAATAGCTGGGAAAGGCAAACAGAAAACAGAGCCCAAGGTGGAGAGTATGCTGTTAAAAGTTCCACCTTTACCCCCAGATCTTTGATTTCCTTCTTTTCAGCCGGCTCTCTTTTTCCTCGATGTGCAGAGTGGACATCTGGGAAATGAGAAGGGAGCCACTCAGAATACAGGCTCTGGATTCAGAGCAGAGAAATGAGAACCAGTGGCTGCAGCTCCCTAGTCCCTAGCTCGCCAGCGTACCCTGCTGGTTTAGAGGGTGGCAGACCAGAATGCCTTGCTCCAAGTGAAGGTCTCCTGTGAAGAAGCGGGGACTGTCAGCCAACAGGGTCCTGACTGCTAACAGGCACAGGGCTTAATGAGTCCCCCATGGGATGCTGCTGGCAAGGGGTGGAAGGGCCTCTAGTAAACTCTGGCTCAACAGCCACGGAATGCAGTTATGTCTCATTCTATGGGTTAAAGAGTGCAGGGTAGAGGCAAGGGGACAGAACCATTACTAAGTATCTGATGACTAACTGGTTAGATTTCCTGAAATTCTTTTCTGTGACAAGTCAGGTGGATGGGTGGTACAATTCTAAGAAGTATTTTAATCCTGTGATTTTAGGTTTTCTGATCTTCTGGAGAAGGAAATGGCAACTCACTCCAGCATTCTTGCCTGGCAAGTCCCATGGTCAGAGTAGCCTGATAGGTTACAGTCCATGGGGTTGCAAAGAGTCAGACATTATTAAGATACATCACATGTCAGTAGAAGACACTGACAAATTACTTAATCTCTAGCAAGTTACTTAATCTGACAAGTTACTTAATCTCTATAGCAAATTACTTAATCTGACAAGTTACTTAATCTCTAGCAAGTTACTTAATCTGACAAGTTACTTAATCTCTATAGCAAGTTACTTAATCTGACAAGTTACTTAATCTCTATAGCAAGTTACTTAATCTGACAAGTTGCTTAATCTCTAGCAAGTTACTTAATCTCTTTGTACCTTAGCTTTCTCATCTGAGAAATGAGCATAATAATTACACCTAATCACAGGACAGAAGTGCAGATTAAATGAGTTATTCAGGCAAGTTTCTTAGACTATGGTTTGTTACACAGTAGACACTCATAGTAGTTATGATGATTATTACTCTAAAAAAGGATTGATCTGAGTGAAAGAAGCCAAACACAAAAGGATCACTCTTTGTGAATGCATTTATGTGAAACAACAGAAGTGGGTCTCTGTGGGGTCACGATGTGTGGAGGGGTCATCTGGGTTTGCCTGCAAGAATGTGAGGCATGGAAAGAATGGCCACTATATCGCGGATGCCGGATCATCCTTCAAACACAGTGATTTGGTTAATGCAGTAATGGCATGTCCTGTGTGTTCTCAACAACGCCCATGGCAACTGCCAAAGGAGTCTGAGGCCACCCACCAGAGGTCCTAACTGGTGAGGGTCTGGCAAATGGATTATACTGGCCTCCGTCCTCTGAGAGAGGGTTCTAACATACCCTGGTTTGTGTGGACTCCGCATCTGGCATAAGTCAAACTCTCCCTTGTCCCCATGCAAACCAGGTACCACTGTTAGGAGATGAGAGAAGCTGAGTACCCAGCAGGAGCACCTTCATCCAACAGACACAGACTGAGGTCACGTTTCAAAGGTTGTGGACTGTGATATGCAAAACTGGACAAAAGAATGTGGCACTGAATGGAGGTTCTATGCCCTCTATAATCCCCACAAGCAGCAGGGCTGAGAGAAAGGGAAAATGGAACATTAAGGCAGTACCGTAAATTATTAACAGATAAAACCACCGTGGCTGGGTCAACACAAGGTTTTAACACATCTGAATGATCAACCAGTAGAACGGCTGTCTCATATGCCAGACTGGGGACCCCCGAGGAAGCGCCTGATACCAAAAAGGTGCTTCGGAAAACAGCCACTGCCCTCTCACCATGGATCGACGTGCTATGTGGTTCTGAGGATACCAAGCCCCGTCACACCTGGCAAGGGGATCAACTACTGGGATTTGCAATTGAACATTCTACCCAGATGGGGGAGGAGGGACCACTCAGTCTCCACTCCCGCTGTCCTGCCGCAACCTAGGCTTGTTGAGATGCATCAAACCTGCAGTGGAAGGTGCGACACTGAAAAAGGAGAAGGGGAGGGTTCTGGTCTGGGGTATCCTGCCCCCAGTCCATCTCCTCAAGCCTGACAGCACTGCCTCCCTGGGCTAACACGTGTGGTATTTACAACCAGATCGAGTTTCTAAGGCTGCTGACCTCCCTCTCCTCAAGGCCAGGTGGGCATGTTCTGTTTCCCACTGGAACGATCATTCTGCTGCCATCTCTGTGCCCTTCACTGGGCTGGAGGACACGACGACACTCACAGGGCTTCACTCATCAAGCCCAGAATGATGGCCAACAAAGCCTGTCCTTCCTGCACATTGAAAAGTCTCCAGTGAGACAAGCTCTCCTCCAAAACAGAAGAGCCTTGGCTGTTATTACTGCCTTGCAAGGAGGCAGCTCTGCCGTTATCCAAACAGAATGCTGTGTGCTCATTACCTGATAAGCTGTTAATCTGTCACTTTTATTAAACCACACGACACAAGTGAATGCTCTGAGTGGTTTGGCCCCCAGCCTAGAAGAGTTAGGAACAGTGGTTTGAATCATGAGACTCTTGGTGGAAAAAGGTATCCAAAATCTGATAAACTGTCTTATCCTGTGTTTTCTTTTGTATGTGCTTGTACTCTTGCTGTGGCATCTGCCTCCAATGCAGGCAGACAGCCGCCAAAATAAGCCACCCAAACAATTGCTCAGGGCACATTGCGGAAGAGAAAGCGTGTGGGACTGTAAGAGCCAGTCACGATGGGTGGAGTGCTGGGGCAATCAGAGGCACCTTACCCCTTCCTCTTTCCTTGGAAGGGGCCCTCCATTTGCATTCTTGCACCAGAAGCTGCCCAAAGACATAGCCTTGAGATGTGGTATCGAGATTATCTGAATGGTATGCATGGCTGAACCTAGATAAGGCCTCTAAATAAAACTTTTTAGATTCTGGTGGGCACGAACAGAGGGCTACTTATCCAGCAAGACAAGCCTCTAGTGTAGGTTCCCATGCTTATCAGACCCACCACCTACCAATCTGGAGTGATCTGCCTTTTCCTGCAGTCTTTCTGTGCCCTCACTCCCTCCATTCAAATGACAGCTTGAAGCTCCAAGGTTGCCATGTTTTGTGGGGTAAGCAGTCTACTCCCTTACCCCATAAAAAGATGTAATAAAAAATCCTCTTGGTATGTGAATTCAAGAAAGCAGATTAAAGAAGAAAGGGTGAATAATGAATTTTAAAATTCTTTAAAGCAACTTGTTCAGTCACTAAGTCTTGTCTGACTCTCTTTCGACCCCCATGGACTGCAGCCCACCAGGCTTCGCGGTCCCTGGGATTTCCCAGGCGAGAGCACTGAAGAAGGTTGCCATTTCCTTCTCCAGGGGATCTTCCCCACCCAGGGATGGAGTCTTCTGCATTGGCAGGCAGATTCCTTACCCCTGAGTAACCAGGCAAGCCCCAGAGCAACTTGGTCAACAGGTAGAAAAACTAAGCTTTTTGGGCATATTAGGTTTTACCATAAGGCTGAAGAGATCCAGCGACACTTTGGAAAGGTTCTGTTTATCTGGCGGGGGAGGCTGAACCCGGCGTGGCGCTGGGCACTAGGTGCAGTGCACATTTACCTGCGTTGAATTCGGGATCGTCTTCCAGCACTGTCACGGCTCCTTCGACCGCGTCAACGGCGCTCCCTCCCTGTTTGAGGATGTTGTAACCCGCGGTGGCGGCTCTGAGGATGCCCTGGCGCACCCGCTCTTTGCGCTCCTTGGAGATGTTGCTGGCTCCGCCACCGTGGACCACGACGACGATGGTGTTCATGGCGACGGATCCTAGGGGTCAGGAAGACGAAAGCGTCCTTTCAGGCGGGTCCAAGAGAACCGCACCGGGCTTACGTCTCCCGCTGGGGACAAGGTCCGGTTTCCACTGCTGGACGGGAGCAGTTTTTACAGACTCAGGCGAATTCCCGAGACCCAGGGAGTCCTGCGAGCAAAGGAGGCGGCTGGGTGTGAACTCTGCACGAAAAGCCCACGGTGCCCTTCCTTTCCCGGTCCGGGGCACCCGCCCGCCTCGCAGCAGCAGTGCTCCGCGCCCCCTCCTCGCCCGCTGACATCAGGCCTCAGTTTCCCCGGGGAACTCCGGCTCAAGGCCCGGGCCGGGAAGAGGCGGAGATGGCGCCCCTTCCATCCGCCCCGGGGCCGCAGCTCCAGCCTTCCTCCCGGGCCCCACGTCGAGCCTCGGTTTCCCGGGGGCCTGTCCGCGCTCCCACCCGCGCCGCGGGGTCAGGGGGAGGCCGGCGGGCTGGAACTCGCCAGAGCCCTCCTGCTTGCAGCCCCGGCACCCGGGAGGGTGCCTTCCCGGGTCTGGGGAGGCGGCTTCCTGGAGGGCCAGTCGACTTACCGAGGACGCCTCAGGAGGCGAACGCCGGGACTTCAGGCTCGGCCGAGCCGCCCGGGCGGCTTCGGATCCTGCACAAGCGGGTCTCGCCGCAAAGCCGCTCTAGAAACCGCTCAGCTGGCAACCGCTCGGCGGGCAACGGCTCCGCGCCTGCGCACGAGGGCGGGGCAGCCAGCCCCGAGGAGTTACCGTAAAGCCTCAACGCACGGCGGGGACGCAAGCACTTCTGCCGGCGTCGCCAACGCGCTCTCGACTCCCGCGGCCGGGCTCCTAGGGCTGGGGCTCTGCTGGCCCTCCACGCACTCGAGCTTCCTATTGGGATGCCTGGGAATTGCTCCTCCTTGGTGTGAGGCCCGCTGGTGGCGTGGGTGGCGAGAAGTGATGTGCCGAGGTTTTGTAATTGAAAACTGAAAAGCCCCGGTGCACGCACTGAAGTCCTTCCTCTGACTGGGATGTTTCGCAGAATTGCTAGTTATTTTCTTCCTTTTACTTGTCTCACCCCTTAACGTTTGGTAGAGATCAGAAAGATAATCTCTGTAACTGACCTGGTTCTCTGCCTGCGGTTCACTAGAATCTGAAACCCTTCTTCTGAGCCTCAGGATCCCAGCTCTTAAATTCCTTCAACCATAAGTCCTTCAATTTTTTGTGTGTGTTTGACACTTATTCTCCTCTTTGTCCCGGAGCCTTAAAGGCTCTAACACTCCCACCCCCATCCAGATGATTGAACCAATCACCTATATTCCCCACTACCCAGCCTCCCTGGATTACTGTTACCATGCATGCATGCATGCGTGCTAAGTTGCTTCAGTCGTGTCCGACTCTTTGCAACCCCATGGACAGCAGCCCACCAGGCTCCTCCATCCACAGGACTTTCCAGGCAAAAACACTGGAGTGGGTTGCCATTTCCTGCTCCAACTGTTACCATAGCTGTTACCATAGCCACCTTTAAATAGAAGTTTGCATTTTATCCAAATAGAAATTAAGATCATGGCATCCTGTCCCATCACTTTACGGCAATAAAAGGAAGTGGAAACAGTGACAGATTTTATTTTCTTGGGCTCCAAAATCACTGCGGAAGGTGACTGCAGCCATGAAATTAAAAGATGCTTGCTCCTGGGAAGAAAAGCTATGACAAACCTACTTTGCCTACAAAGATCTGTATAGTCAAAGCTATGGTTTTCCCAGTAGTCAAGTATGAATGTGAAAGTTGGGCCATGAAGAAGGCTGAGCTCTGAAAATATGATGCTTTTGAGCTGTGGTGCTGGAGAAGACTCTTGAGAGTTTCTTAGAAAGCAAGGAGATCAAACCAGTCAATCCTAAAGGAAACCAACCTCAAATATTCATTGGAAGGACTGATGCTGAAGCTCCAATACTTTGGCCATCTGATACAAGGAGCTGACTGGACTGAACAATGAACAACAATAGTGACCTTCAAAAAAATTTTACATTTCTATCCAGCAAAACAACTGCAAGATACTGATAGATTAGAGCCATGAACCCTATATTATTGTGTAAAATAGTGGCAAAAGCTCCCAGGGCCTGAAGCTTTGAATTAGAGGAAGAAGTATGGGGCGGGCATTGTGCAGAGAGAACTCAGTTCTTTTCTAAGTCCTGGTTTTTCTTGGGGTCTACAGAGATCCAGGCCAGAAGGTGTCAACAACCAAAGTTATATTATTGATTTTCTGACCACTGTGGCTAACACAACCCCAGATCTGGCAATTGTTTTTTATGCAATTTCCCCCTAGGCAGCTATTAAGCTGTGAGAGTTCTCTCACCACCATGATGTTTTACATACAAGGCACTCTAGAAGCATCTTCCTGTCTCTTCTCTGGGTAATAGAATATGTGTCATTCTCAACTGTGGCTTATCTGCAGCTACACTGAATCCCAGACTACATCGCTCTGTCACTGGGGTACCTCTTGGGGATCCAGTTGGCCAGCACAAGCCAGGGGATGAATTCAATATCAGGTAAAGGCCAAGGATGTGAAAAGGAAGCCTGCTTCAGTCATAAATGTGTTATGCCATAACCTCAACTAGGAAAACTTCAGTTCTTCCTGCTACAATTATAATTTGCCTAAATTCACTTCTTGAGAAAAGAAGTTAAGGCTTCAGTATTATAGAACGACCTAACTCTATAGTTGCTTTTCTTCCCCTTCCATGGAGGGTCGATGGTTCAAATAGTACATTTTGGCTGAAAATGCAGTGTGAATCAAAGCTTGTGGGTCAGCAAGATCCAGTCATGCATGTAATAATTTCTTCCTTTTTAAAAAACTATGTATTTATTGATTAGGTTGGTGCCAAAGTAATTGAAGTTTTGCATTGTTGAACTTTGCTGTTTGATATTGGACTACATTCTTAAACAAATATGGTTATATTATACATCATTTTAATGTGCAGTTCTCACTTTTTTTATAATGACATTACTTGCTGTTTATATTATATTTATTTTAGACTAAGGAAATGATATTAGACAGAAAGCAAATTTGGGCAATTTTCTTATTTGAGTTCAAAATGGGTTGTAAAGCAGCAGAGATAACTTGCAATATCAACAATGCATTTGGCCCAGGAAATGCTCACAAATGTATAGTACGGTGGTGGTTCAAGAAGTTTTGTAAAAAAAAAAAAAAAGAAGAAGAAGTTTTTGTAAAGAAGACGAGAGCCTTGAAGATGAGGAGTACAGTGGCCGGCCATCAGAAGTTGACAATGACCAACTGAGAGGATCATCGAAGCTGATTTTCTTACAACTACTTGAGAAGTTGCCAAAGAACTCGGTGTCAACCACTGTACTGTTTTTCGGCATTTGAAGAAAATTGGCATGGTGAAAAAGCTTGATAAGTGGGTGCCTCATGAGCTGACTGAAAATCAAATAAATCATCGTTTTGAAGTGTCATCTTCCCTTATTGTATGCAACAACAGCGAACCCTTTCTCAATTGAATTGTGATGTGTGATGAAAAGTGGATTTTATTTGGCAACCGGTGATGACTAGCTCAGTGGTTGGACTGAGAAGAAGCTCCAAAGCCAAATTTGCACCAAAAAAAGGTTATGATCACTATTTGGTGGTCTGCTGCCTGTTTGATTCACTACCGCTTTCTGAATGCTGGGGAAACCATTTCACCTGATAAGTATGCTCAGTGAATCGATGAGATGCACCACAAACTGCAAGGCCTGCAGCCAGCATCGATCAACAGAATGAACCCAATTCTTCTTCACGACAATGCCCAACTGCATGTTGCACAACCAGCGCTTCAGAAGTTGGATGAATTGGGCTATGAACTTTTGCCTCCACCACCATATTCACCTGGCCTCATGCCAACTGATTGCCACTTCAAGCACCTCGAAACTTTTTGCAGGGAAAATGTTTCCACAACCAGCAGGAAGCAAAAAAAAAAAAAAAAAAAGCAAAAATGCTTTCCAAGAGCTCTTCAAATCCTGAAGCATGGATTTTTATTTTTTTAATTAATTAATTTATTTTTATTGACGGATAATTGCTTTACAGAATTCTGTTGTTTTCTGTCAAACCTCTACATGAATCAGCCATAGGTATACATATATCCCCTCCCTTCTGAACCTCCCTCCCATCTCTCTCCCCATCCCACATCCCATATATGGCTGTGCTGGGTCTTAGGTGCAGCACATGGGATCTTCCATCTTTATTGTGGCATGCAGAATCTTTAGTGACAACATTTGAACTCTTAGTTGTGGCTTGTGGGATCTAGTTCCCTGACCAGGGATTGAACTTGGGCACCCAGCATTGGGAGCTCAGAGTCTTAGCCACCGGACCCCTAGGGAAGTCCCCATGTAATGATTTTTTATACTGGCCTCCCCAAGAAGGGGATTCCCTGGTGGCTCAGATGGTAAAGCGTCTGCCCACAATATGGGAGACCCGGGTTCGATCCCTAGTTTGGGAAGATCCCCTGGAGAAGGAAATGGCAACCCAGTCCAGTATGCTTGCCTAGAAAATTCCGTGGATGGAGGAGCCTGGTGGGTACAGTCCATGGGGTCGCAAAGCGTCGTACATGACTGAGCGAACTGGCTGTGTCAATGATAGTCTCAAGAAGTCTGAGAAGGAGACAGGGCACTGAAATACAGCTCCCTTCTTTTCTGCTGTGTCAGCCTTGAAAGCAATAAGCACTTGCTTCTGCTCTGATAGATAGGATGGGAGGAATTTCGTGAAAGTCAACGTTAGATCTCTCTTGGAGGATGGTGCCCCTAATCCCGAGCCCTGACCCCGGGCCCTCCCCATGATGGAAAGGGTGTGAGTCATACAACTGAGCCACGGCCTCATTTTACAGACTGTCAGAGTCACTTGGAGGTGAAATACAGATTGCTGGGCCCCACTGCAACGTTTCTGACTCAGTAGGTCTTTCGGGGAGTGGAGTGTGGGTGAGGGGTGCGGTGGGGAGGTGGGGCGGGGGTGGGTGGAAGCCAGGAATTTGCATTTCTAATGAGTTCTTAGGTGATACTGCTGCTGCTGATCTGGGGATTACCACTGCCTAGAAGGTGCCATTGAGATCTTGTCCTTTGTAAACTCATCCAACCTGGTATTGGTGACAGTCTTCTTCATGGGATCTAGAGTGGGGAATTAGGAGACTGGGAAATTTGTGCCATTTTTGGTTTTCCTTTTTATTCAAGTGTTCCATGAGTGATGAATGAGCCTTTGTTTCTTAAGAGCCCAGAGTCAGAGTGCTCAGTTCTTTTCATCTGGGTGGGTAGGCCGGAGGGAATTGAAATTGGTTGGGAATGATTAAAATTAGGCCCCCCAAATAAATTTGCAGCACTCATAGCAGTTCTTATTGAACAGGCAGCTATTTGAAGAGGGGTCTGTTAAGCTTCCTGCCATGGCATTGCCACATCTTTTCCACGGAAGTTCCCAGCACTGAGTATAGTCCTTTGGTGGACTTTTCTGCCACAAACTAAGCTATGAGCATCTTATGAATAGTTCTATTTGTAACATGAAGCCAGAATAGTGCCTCGCTCTCTGAAGGTCTTCACAAACATTCGTTGGCTAAAAAACAACTGGTTCAGAAACTCAAAAGAACAAATTCCCAGAAGTCTGAGACAATAGGTCTTGGGAAGAATGAAACTGGCATGGTCTGGATATTTGTGAACTGATCAGTGAACATGACTTATTGCCATGGGAGAAAAACTC